GAGACATTTCCCCTCTTAACAAATCCTGAAATTGTTTCATTTGAAACAAAATAAACGCTTTTGAAAACACCTTTGAGATTATTTCCATATAAACAAAATCGACAATATTTGAATCTTTTAAAACGATTTTTTATCTCTTAAAGACAATTTCTTTTGAAAAAAAATCTTTGGGTTTGTTTCTCTTGAAAAAAAAATCTTTGAGTTTGTTCCTCTTGAAAAAATCTTTGAGTTTGCTCATTTTGAATAAAATCTTGGAGTTTGTTCCTTTTGAATAAAAATCTTTGAGTTGTTTCTTTTGAAAAATATCTTTGAGTCTATTTATTTTGAAACAAAGTTTTGTCTCTCTTGAGACAATTTCGTGAAAAATCTTTGAGTCTGTTTCCTTTGAAACAAAACAAACATCTTTGAGATCATTTCCCTTTAAACGAATTTTGTCTCATTTGAGACAGTTTTCCTTTAAACAATCTTTGAGTCATTTCCTTTGAAACAAAATTTTGTCTCTTTTAAGAGACAGTTGCTTTTGAAACATATCATCTTTTGGGTTTGTTTCTTCTGAAACAAATCTTTAATTTGGTTTCTCTTGAAACCATAACTTTTAGATGGCCAGCCGTCCTCATCACGTAGGAACCGTGTTATCACCTTTAGATGGCCAGAACTCTTCATCACGTATGAGCCGTGTCATACCCCGACCAGATCTCTTCATCACGTATGAGCCGTGTCACCCTAGATAACCAGCCGTCCTCATCACGTAGGAACCGTGTTATCACCTTTAGATGGCCAGAACTCTTCATCACGTATGAGCCGTGTCATTCCCCGACCAGATCTCTTCATCACGTAGGAGCCGTGTCAACCATAGATAACCAAACTCTTCATCACGTATGAGCAGTGGCATCCCCAACAATCAACATTATCCAATTTATAGGAAAAAGAAAGAGAACCAGACAAAAACGTGTTGTATTGTCGTCTTTGCCCTATTCTTGTTAACACAAGAATGTGCAAAGAGGGGCAGCTGTAGACACCCGTTTTTGTCCGGGTCTTTTTTGTATATTATTATTATCGTTATTTTTATTATTATTATTATTATTATTTATTATTAATATTACATTTTACATATTTTGCAGGCCAAAGCCCAATACAACAAGGCCCAACCAAGGCCCAACAGAGGCCCAACAACCCGAAGCCCAATTGGCCCAATCCCAGAGCCCAACAACCAAATCAGATTAGGGTTTCAAACCCTAAAACAAATTAGGGTTTCAAACCCTAAATCCCCTATCCAGCCGCCGCCACCGCCAGCAGCAAGTTGCACTTCCCACCGCCGTCGTCACTGCTGCCGGTCCATCTCATCGTCGCCGTCATCATTAACAGAGGCCGAACAGTGATAGAAACAGTGAAAAAAAACAATCAACAGAAACCAAATCAATATCAACTTATCAAATACAGTGGCCTAAATCTGAAAACCCATTAAAATAACACCCAAAAATCCCGAAAAATCTGGACTTTATTCACCCAAATCAGAGAAATCAAACCCTATTCATAGACCTCATCATCTCACCAAACGAAGTAAAAAAAAATCAGCATGCAAAGCAAGATAAAAGGAAAGAGCAAAGAGAACAGAGAGGGAGGGGGGTGATAACAAAAAAAGGGAGAGACCATTCGGGTTTAGAAAAAAATCAGAAAGGAAAAAGAGAGGAACCGAAGCTTACCCATAACCGACCACCATTGCTTCATCGGGGTGATTAGGCCCTATCTTTGGAGGTATATTTTTTTTTACCTTTCGGATTTGGGGGTTTCGGGTTTGGTTGTGAGTGGGGGTTTAGTTTCAGGTCGATTTTAAGGGGAAACTGTGTAGTTTGTGAGACCCCGTGGCCACCGTTCTACGGTGACCGGGGTTGAGTGCTCTGTTTGGCTGTTGCGGCGAGGGAGAAAGGAGAGTAGAGAAAGGGAAAGGAAGGAGGCTGAGAGAGGGGTGAAAATGATTTAGGGTTCGGTTAATAACCCTAAAATGGGATTATATCCCAGTTTCAAAAACGACGCCGTTTAGAGGTTTCCGTGTTTTCATATTAAGGGGTAAACTACTCTTTTGGTCCCTGATGCTTTGTAACCGTATTATTTAGCCATTAAATGAAGTTTCATTTATTTGATTTCAGATTCTGATGTTTCCTTATTATATTTTAGTCCTTTTATTATTTGTTAAGTTATTTTTGTTAATATTTTACATTGGTCACTATATTTGTGAATATATTATTTTAGCCATTGGCTTGTGTATGGTTTAATTCCTATTTAGTCTTTTAGGTTTCAGTTTTCCTATTTGAGTCTCCTTTTTATTTCTTGTTATATTTTCGTCCTAACATATGTGTTGATGTTTATGACAATTTTTATATATCAAGCCTGGAATTTGTGAAATGTTTATTTCAGTCCTTAAATTTTCTGTAATGTTAGTTTGGTTTTATGCCTATTCAGGTTTATTGATTTGTGATTAATTTTATTTTGATCATCGTATGTATATTAATGGAATTTATTAACATTTATGTTTTAGTCTTTAAACTGGGTCGCCTTCTATTTTAGTCCATCTTTGTTCTTAGTTTTTATTTTCGATGAGGTTTATGATTTTGATCATCTGTTTTGCATCCTTTTTATTTCGGTCCTTTATGTTGGCTTGTGGGTTCGATTGGGATTAATATTTGATTTAGGCTTAAATTTTCTTTTAGGTTCATTTTAGTCACTATCCTAGGTATTATAACATTTTTTGGTTTATATTTGGTTCTGGTTTCAATATTTATAAATGTTACATCTTAGCCACTGATTTAATATTTCATGTGTGTTTCTTTGATATTCGAATCTGGCCACCCCATTTTTTAAAATACTTTATTTTAGTCCTATTAATGTATGTTATGTCATTTTTGTGAATATTTGACTTTTGGACATTATGTTTGTAATAGTTTCATTCTAGTCCTAAGTTCTTGTGTTGTGATATTTTGTGGATGTTTGAATTCAGCCATCATATTTGCAAATGTTCTATTTTGGTCACTGTCTGACATTTTATTTAATTACTTTTTGATCCTCCATGTTTCTGTGAAATTTCAATTTAGTCATAAGCTTTACTTTTGGGTTATTTTCACTTCTAGTATTTGACTGTTTAATGTTTTTGATATGGGCTCTAAATTATTTTTATTTTATATTTAGTCCTTTAAATTTCGGTTAGTGCTATTTTGGTCCATTAATTTTCTGTTTTTTGCTGTTTAGCCCCCTAAGTTTCTGTTTCTATTATTTTAGCCCCTTAAATGTTTTATATTTATTTTGGTTTGTAATATTTACTAATTTATTTTTAGACATTTATGTATGGATGTGTATTTTACTCATTAGTTAATTATTTTGATTATGTAAATAATGTTTTCAATTTCATTTAATGTAAATATTTTATTTTGTATTTCCAATTACATTTATTTTCATTATATCTTATCTATGTAAGAAATATTCGATTATATTTTCAAGAACACGTATGCGTAGAATGGGCGTGGAAAGTACCATTTGGTCGAAGTGGTACGATCCGATACGGCATTTTAACGACATAGGAACTTGCAATAAGTCGAGTATATTTTACTAATTAATTTATTCAAACAATGCAATGTGTGTTATTTTAAATGACAATTTACTTTATTTTATGTGAATGTAAATTTCAAAATTTTTAATTTGTATTCAATTCACGTTTTCAGTTAATCAATTTATTCGTATGTAAACATTGTTTTAATTATATTCGATTTGTATTTTTAACATAATCAATGGTAGAATATTCTTTTACGAATGAGAAATAGTTCGAGTTAGTTGCCCCGATGGAGGGTTGCTAATTTCAAGATTTCCTTTCGAGTTAAAGAATTTTCTCTAATTAAATAATTCGAAGCAAATTAATTAATGTTCGATAAATGGATCATAAATTAACTTTATATTCGATTTGTAATTTCCACCATTATGACAATGTGTAAGCGACACAGTACCAATTTTGGGCGCTGTGGGGTGCTAATCCTTCCCCACGCGTAACCGACTTCCGAATCCATTTAAATGAATCTTTGGTAACGCATACCGAATTTTGTCTAAAAAATGATTTTTTCTTAAAATTGTTTTAAAAGACGTTTTTAGGTATTCGACCTACCTGACCCAAAGGTCGATGGCGACTCTATTCAATTTATTCCAAATTAATTCCAAATTCCCCAATTTTTCCAAATTAGAGTCATAATCGTTTTTTAAAATAATATTTAATTGTTCCACCTAAAAATGGTTATGACAGTTAGAAGCTACTTTTTCTATCTTGTCTGTTTTTAGTTAATTACAACAAATCGTAGCTGATTACTTTTCTCTCTATTGAAACTTCTTAAAAACCCTAAAATCGTCAATCTTTTTCTTCGTTCTTGATTGGTAGGTGGAGACACCCTCTATAATGCCTGGTGGTCGTCGCCTGTATTTCTTATTTCTCTTTTAATTTTTTATATCAAATCTTTGTTTCCTCCTCTCTTTTTTTATAACTCTAGTGTTATGATGTGTTTTTCTATACCTTTATAGTATCTTCTGACTTTTTGTACGTTTTCGATCATTAAACATTGTTTACGTTTATCTTTTTTCTCAGTGTAAAATTTAATATCAAAACGACTGATCAAAATGAAATTTATTTGTTATCATATTGATTTTTCCTGCTTTAGACCCTCGAATTAGATTTAGATACGCAATTTGCGTTCATGTGTTGTATATCCTATGAATTTAATCATAATTTAAAATAAGCAATTATACCAATTTTTTTAACTGCAACATAACCTTCTCCGTTTAAAGTTAACGGTAAATAGTTTGATTAAAGGGTTTCAATAATTAAGTGAGCTTATTGACGAAATCAAAACATGGATGGTCAAAATAAAATGGGTAATAATTGAGTGGTCAGCCGTAGATCACCTTTAAAATATTTGTGTTCAAATCATTTTAAGTGCAAAATTTTCAAATAAGATCATTACAAGACAGATGATTGTTTCAAGATCCCAATTTACAACGCTAAGGTTAATAAATGTCATAATGTATAAACAAAAGTTCACAACCGAGTCTCTGTAATGCCTTCTTCAGCTGTGAGTATAATTAAAAGAATGGTCAATAAATACCGTATCTACCAAAATAAAATAATTTCCACCAACTAGCACTAAAAGGCTGATTATTCTTCAATTAGGATTCTGTTTCGTACCAGTTAATCGGCTGCCTACTTTTTATAAACTAGACGATCAAATATAGGTCCCCAGTTGAACCAGCATCACGCTAACATCATCGGACGAGCCTCGTGAAACCGAAAGATCGACAAGCTTTTTGCAGGCACCCAATGCATTCTGCTTACTGATGCCTAGACATGAAGGACGAGCAATGTCAACTGCTTCCTGGTTACTAACCTTATCCCATAAGCCATCAGAAGCTAATATTAAGAACTCGCATTCGGATTCGATGCCGATGATCTTTGTCTCCGGCTCGGATATTACCCACTGCTTAAGGTGCTGATCTCCAATCCCTCTGGAGACGGCAAGACAACCCTGAATTCTCCAAACTCCACGGCACAAGTCCACATAGCCACCCTGCAGAAACATATTTCACACTATGCATCAGATCAAGTTCATCCCGAAATTCCAATTGCGAAATAAAGCAAAGATGATTGATTTTAAGGGCTTACCGAAGTCTCGATTCGGTTCCTTTCATCCTCCCTTGAAGGTCTGTGATCGGAGGTAAGAGCTTCAGCGACACCAGCTCTGCTCATAACAGCACGACAATCGCCGGCGTTCGATACAATCAGGTTTCCATTCTTGATCAAAGCTGTCACACAACATGTGCCACCGGAGATGTCTTCCTTAAGAAACTCGGCATCTGTTTTCATATAACCTTCTTTAACAGCTTCCTTCACTTTGCTTAGATCCCTTCTTTCAATTTCATCTACGATGTTCTTCTCCAACTTTTGGGCTACAAACTCTGCCGCTTTGGCACCTCCATGACCGTCGAAAACACCGAAAAACGCCTGCAATCATCACATAAAACCATGAGTCTCGCCAACTTAAAGTTCATTACTTCAACATCCTCCAATTTTAATGGAACCTAGCAGAATTAACAAGTATGAGAAATGTATTCATTCTTCCTTTTAAAGAACTATTCTTCCCCTAAACATATTACAATCAAGCAAGCAGAAAATCACAAGGAAGAAAATCCCAGAAACCATAAAGTACCTGTTTTGAATCTCCTTGGAGTTCAACAGAAGCTGAGAATCTATCTTCCATAGCTTCTCTCCTCCCTCTTTTACAATAAACCGAATAACCATCTCCTTCTCTCTCCAGCTCTCTCAACACTTCACACGGAGTTGCTGGAACTCCAAAACACACAGCCGTCGTTGCTACCGGTATATCTAGCCTCGCTGGCCTCTTCCTCTTCAAAATCGTCGACACCGATCCCGGTCCCAGACCTGCGGCTGAACTCGAAACCAAAGAAGAAGATGGTGCTGAAGCAGAAGAAGATAACAACGACCCAGATGGCGGTTTTTGAAGACGAATCCTAAAAGGGGAAGACGGCGAAGAAGGAGATGGAGAAGCATGAGAAGAAGACGAAGTATTGAGTTGAGTCAACGACAAGTTCAAAGCTTCGGGCGAAGGAGAGATGATGGAAGTTTTGGTACAGAAAAGAGACGACAATGGGGAAAACACCGGTGAGTTACAGACGGCAACTGAACACGACATCGCGTTCTCTATGCTTCTTTAAGCTTTTCCTTGATTTGTTCTTTGCTTTTTCAACAACTTTATAATCAGGGTTTGCCTTCGTTTTATTCATTTTGAGAGATGAGAGAATATATATATATAAAGGGAAGATGTTGGTCTTCGCTTTGCGTGTTAATGGCGGAGTTTTATAGTTTTAGATATTTTGACCACTGACTTTAGTATTGGGGCACTCCCTTTCTAGTGGAAAGTCAATTTTACCCCTCATCTTGAACTTGTAGGCAAATTTGATATTTTCCTTTTTATAGGATTTTCTTCTTTATAGAAACGCTTAATATATAATTTGACCCCTAAAATATGGTATGATTTCCATTTTGACTCTTTAAAGATATATTTTTCAAATATGACCTTCAAGTTTTGTTTTGTCGACAATTTTGGTCTCTCTAATTGATGTCATTAAAAAAAATGATTTGATCCTTTCAATTAATTCGTAAATGACACATTGAGGGTCAATTTGAAAATAAAATATGCTCTAAATTCTGAACTGAGTGTTTTATTTAATTTATGACTGATGCGTGAAGAATTAAATTGAAAATAAATAATAGTTTAAGGGTAAAAATAAAATAAAATATTATACATTAATTTTTATTGTTTTCCTCAAGATTCTCTCTTTTTTCATTATCGACTTCATATTTCAATCGATTTGAAGAGGTTTAAGGTATTTTTTTAAAATCGAAACGATTAGAAGACATTTAAGAACATGTGTAAGCCACAACGAAAATTTTAATTCAATCTAACAACTAGATTTGAGGATCAAATTTGGGATATCTCAAAAGTATATATTGATTTTGTAAATTTTGAGATTTATCCCCCCAAAAAAAATCTAATGATAATTTAGGGTTAAAGAGATGACCACGATGAATTTAATGTAAAATTTGAGTAAAAAAATAATTGAAGCACGATGCCCGAAGTTTTTGGAACTCATCTAAAACATGCATATTTTATACATTTGTTTTTTTCTCTGTTTAAACTTTAAATTATAATTATTCATCATTTAACCCTTAATTTAAACGATTAAGATGTATGAAAAAAATAAGGGTTTGTCCTATTTTTCTCTATTTTTTCTTAGCTACTGTTAGACTTTTTCCTTTTTTATCTTTTTGATCGATGATTATATTAGTCTTGGTGCTGGTCGTCGATCGCCGGTATTCATTATTTTTTCATTTCTTTATTAAAATGTATATTTTTTCTTATTTTTTATTTTTAATAATTTACCTTTATGGCATGCATTCTTCTACCTTTATGGCACATTTTTTATCGTTTGGTTGTTGTTTTCGTTTATTCTTTTTTTAGGGCTGGATTTGACATCTCCACGACTGATCACGTTGGTGCTTATTTGTTATCGTATTGATCTTCCCTGCTTTGGACACTCTGATTGAATTTGGAAACGTGATTTGCATTCGTGGATAGTATTTTCACGTCGCTCGATTCTGATTTACGATTTGTCAATGGTATTTCAATAGTTTCATCCCCTTTTATGGTTCATTTACCTATGCAATAAGATATGTTCGTATCTACATTTTGTTCGAGTTTATTCGGTTAGGTTTTTAACATTTTTCTTGTATGGTATTTGTGTGATCTTAAGTGGTTAGTTTTCTTGTGTTTAGGAAAATGTCTTTATTAAGTGTTTAATTTATAACTTAGTTGTAAACCTTCATTGTAATTTAGATATTTTCTATTTTCAATAAAATTAGTGGCTTATATCAAATAATCATCTTGAATATACATCTTTCTTTTATTATTAATCTAGGGTGCTTATAAGTGGGTGTGTCTGTTCTAAAGACTCTCAACCATTTGACAATAAACATTCAAATACCATGGTAGTCTCTGGTGCTCGAATCTGAGACATCTACTGAAATAACTTGGTTCGTGCATAAATCTTTTTAATAGGCAAGAAAAATAAAAATGAAATTCAAAGGTTTGAATTTTTCTTGTTCTTAGGAGAACATTAATTGTAGGTTTGTAGCAAAGATAAAATGAGAATAAAGATTCTAAATGTGTTATTGAAGATTGAAAATTGAAAATTGGTGTGATCAAGTAAGGTAGGCAAAAGAGTAAATGAAGATGAGAAAGGAGTGGGCAATATGGAACCGAGTAGCCGACCGAAACCATGCAGAAGATCAAACACGTAATTAGCTGTAACCATACGTACAGCTTTAAACACTGTGTTTAAGTTTGACTCGTTTTGTTTTCCAACTCAACTATATTTAAAGGAAATATTTTCTTAGCTAATAAGATTCGAATAAACGTGGGGCCCCACCCCTCAGTTATCGTTATACCTTTTCCGCTGCTCTTTTTTCTTGGGTAAATTATATATTTAGTACTTACATTATTGTTTTTAGTTCGTTTTGATATCAAAACTTTAATTGTTTTCATAACCATACCTAACATTTATTTTAGATGTCTATCTGGTACTCTGTCATTAAAAATTTAACGATGATGTTGATGTGTCACCACAATATAATATTCATAATCATTAAAAAATAAAGTTTAGATATAAAAACGGAATAAAGTTATAAATTATGTACTAAATGTGTAATTTATCCTTATTTCTTCCACTTTCCTTCAAGTTTACCGTTGCCCTCGACAGACTGACACTCGCATCACCATTATACGACCGTTGCATCAATCGACTTCTACTATTCACATCAACAATTCCCCGATTAATTATTATTTTTACTCAATTATTCATTTCTTTTATTTTTTATGGTTTAATGTATCATTTGATTCCTAACGTTTTATATATAATTTTTCCATTTTAATATTTAACGTGTTTTATCGATAGAATCTCTAAAATATACCAAAAATAATAATTATTTAGATCTAAAAATATATGCTCGTTAAAAATAATTATTTAACTCTAATTTTTACAATATATATATATATGGGTTATTTTCCCCTTATATAATGTAAAACTATTTAGTTTTATACAGATTTAAGACCATTTGATGAATGAAAATATACGACTAATATTGACTCCTTATTTTTTCATTGAATATCTTCTCTTTTTTTACTGTTAATCTCAGTCATCTAATTTTAGTTATCTAATGATCCTAAATCTATTTAAAACTAAAAGAGATTTACATTGTGTAACAATATTCTATCCCTATATATATACTTTTAAAATTAAAAAAAAAAAAACTTAGAAGTTAACTTTTTTGTCCATGAAGCAATTGAATATTTTGAATGATAAACAAAAGATTAGAAAACTTTTGGAATAAATTAGATATAAAATTATTGTTCAATGATTTATTTGATGTTTTAATGATCAATTTGTTAATTTTGAAATTTTAGTTGAAAAACAAAAACTTACTCAAACATTACTAATCACTTGTGTAGTTTACCTCTTTTTGATTTTATAAATTCATCGTGATACATCAACAATCTGTTAAAGGTCTAACAACAGTTAACCTTCAGTAACCACATATTAATTAAATAAAAATGAAAGTAATCAAATCTTAATTAAATGAAAAAGTGACAAAATATTATATTTTTTAGTTTAATGAGGAAAAATGTACAAAACTTAAACAAAATTGATTAATCATGTAGTTTACCCTAAAAGATACCCCACGTTTGACTGAATAGTCACTTTGACTCCTATATTTAGAGCATTTTAACCCCCAAACATTTAAGAATGTCAAAAGATTCCCTTTTACGCTAGATGGTTCTCCAACTTCTTGCACTAATCAAACAAGTGTAGAATGAATTACCGACACAACCAAGAGCTTAGAATGAGTAAGGAAATGATTTATGATGCTAAAAATGGACGTTAATCACCTAAGTAGCTTATGGAGTCAAATTTGTAACGCCTCAATTTTCAAGGTCAACATGTTAGGGTTGACATGAGAGTTTTGGATCATGTGGAATTCGTATTTGAAGTCGTTGGGATGAATGTGGGCTTAATTGAATGTCATTTAGGCTCGATTGGTCATAAAAAGGGAATTTTTACATGGAAGGCAAAATAAGAGGAACCAAAAGTGTAATTAGTCCATTTGTAAAAATGATGTTGATTTCTTAAGATTTCTTTAAGCTTTGGGCAAGAGATTTAAGGGGGAAAGTTGAAAAGTTTTATCATCTTCTTCTTATCTCTTTCTTTCCATTTTTCTTCCTCAAGTTTCAAGGACCAAGGGGTGGTGGTAAGAACTTTTATTTCCATCTAGCTCTAAATTTGTCTTTAAGCCTTCCATAAATCTTTTTTTGTGATTCAACAACCTTATTTTCATGTCTTGGCTAGAGAGAGTGGGTTGTGAGCATCTTAGTTCAAGAGAAGAAGGAAATACCAGTGTGGTTGAGGAAATGAGCTTCATTTAGGGATTATAATATAAAGGTAGTGAATTTCTAATCCTTTGTTGTGTTATGGCTTTCATGAGAGTGGTGCTTTGATGAGATTAGAGTGTTTAAGCATATTTAGATTTTTGCTCGATTTATGTCATATATGATGTTGTTGAAAAGTTAGTATTTTTATAATACTAGACGACCCTAAATAACTTTTCTAATAATATTTGAGTCACACTTATCCAAGTATCTTGTTTAGCAAAATTAAAGTGGTTCAATTTATGTATGAATCTTGTGATAATTATTAGGGAGCAATCAAAAGAATCTTACATTGTCTTCAAGATACATTGGATTATGATATTTTTATTTACAGTAGATAAGAAGTTCAATATTTTTTTTCTCAATGCTATTTGGGGCAGTGACCTTGATGATCAAAAGTCCATCTTAGGGTATTGTACTTTGTTTGGTCCGAATCTTATAAAGTTTTAAAATGGTGTAATATCTCATTTTATATCTGGTGTAAACTGTATATCTGATATATATTTTATTTAATTAAATTTATAAAAAAAAAACCATATCGAGATCATAAAATAAGTAGGCTTTGTTAAAAAAGAAAAACTTAGCTATGAGAGTTGAATTACTTAGCAATTTATATAAAAAAACATCCTTTGTTCATTGTCTTTGAGTAGGCCTAGTAAGAAATATTTTCATTAAAAAATTAGTTTGTAAATCATCTCCTTGCATCGTCTTCATTAGTGATCCCAACAACTAAAACCTATACATTTCATCAGTTTTCTTCAATACCCTTAATATATTTTATGTTTTAAAATATAAAAATTCATCGTTAAAAAGAATAACATAAAAAATAAATAATTCTCTTTAATTGAAACCACAATACGACGAGTTTTTTTTATATGTTGTTGGGTTTACTTTTGTCCTTTCACAACTCATCATCATAATGTTTATATCACTTGGAAAATTATTATTATAGAATGATTTTACTAAAAATACCTTAAAAATAATTAAATACCAAAATAAAACCATTTTATTAATATTTACTAATCTAGCACTCATTCGCATTGTGTGACAATAAGGCACGTTATTTAGAATTTGGGTATATACCCCAAATAGAGGTTACAAACACAATCCATTTTCCGAGTGTGAAATGTACCGTTATTTTGAAGGATGTTTCAATATAATAAGGACTCCCAATAATTATGATGCTTTGCGCCACCACTATCAAGGAAAGGTCCCAAATGAGAACACACACAACTAACGGGAGTCCTAGCTACATTGAAACATCTTCCAAAGTTATGATGCACACCTCGCATAGAAGATTAAATATGTCATCTCCATCTCTCTATTAGTTCAAAAGTGAGGATACATTGAAGTCTACAACCTTCCATTAATTAGAATACATATCCATATCCAACATCTCTTAAGTAATTCCAAATACAATAGGAGTGTGGATAACTTAGTGTTATTGATAAACAATTCAAATTTATGATAATTATTCTTATTAATAAAAATTAAATATATCAAACAAATTAAAGTAAAAAAAAATAGAATATAACAACAATTACATAATAATTAAATATTTATAAAATATTCTTACCATTTTCGATTGATGAGTCAAAATATAATTTGACTCCAAAATCATTTTTTTAAATACACTTTTAAAAATTATTAGTAACTAAAAATAATTAATATAAATTTTAAATAAATTTAGTAAATATAACAAAAAACACACTTACACCTCAAATCACAATTTAGGGGCTCTTAAACATTTGTAGAATAAAGAAATAAACGAGAAAGATAAGTATATTTGAGTTTTTTTGTGTAATTTGTAACGAGATGAGTGTTTATATGAGGGTTGAAATAGGAGAAGAGGCAAGCAAAAATGGAGGGTAAGAGGTAGGAAACAAAAGGCGGGATGAGCTGGAAACCCAATAAAAACACGTTCTTGTAGAGAACACCTTTGTCACATAATATAAGATACTTCTTACAAAACACACTTTAAACAAATGGCATTTTTTTACAACTTTAATCACATAGTATGAAAGAATACTAGATGGATATTGACAGGTGGGTCTGTTTTGATATTTAATTATTTTTAAGATAAATTTTGGGTAAGATTGCCTTATCATTGGAGCTCAAACATTGGGTTCACTAATTATTTGAGGCTTGGCTCTAACTCGTAACGAGTCAAAAACCGAAACCCTAATTGTGGGTGGCTCTTTACTTCGGCGCCTAAAATAGAGAAAGCAGTTGAATAAAAAATACTGCACTTTCAGCGACCCGATATCTTTTCAAATCTACTCTCCACTGAAATATCCTTGCAATTATCTTTTCATCATCCTGTTGGAATTTTTCATCTACAACAAAAACACAATCGAAATCGACAGATGCAAAACATAAATTTGACTTTGAAGAATAAAGAGGATGTAGTTCCCCGACGTCCAAAATGGATCATCGAATTGAAGCAGTGGATAGTGAGGGGAACATTTCTGTTTAGGCTTCTTCCCATCACAGAAACTCACATTCTATTTTTGTTCAAATTTCTGGATCTAAAAATAAATAGAAGCCACCAAACAAATCGAATATTAAAAAAGAAAGAGGAATTGAGGGGGTGATTAATGGTGAATGAACTCAGTCCCTTAGATGTTCAAAAAACTGCGATCATTTTCGCAATTCATTACAGGTCTGTTACATCTCATCACCGTTCTTTAACCATTAAAACAATCACCAAAATAATATATAGTTGCCCAAGTGATCTCCCAAAATCTACAAAGAAAAAAATTAAGAAAGAGATAAAGACGAGAGCAACACAATGATTATCGCTTCAAGGGAACGAGTCATATGGGAACTGATTGAATCCACACTGACCAGATAGCGAAGCTTCTACCTTTAATAAACACTAAGACTTACTGGAATTAATAAAAAACACACAAATCGAAATAAATAGATTTACAAGAGGAGTGGGTTGGATACAAGTTTTATAGTTTGAGAGGTCGAAACAACTTATGAGTATATATATACATATTTGAGGGTGTAAGTTGAAACCCTAATTGTGAAAGTGAAATTACGAACGTAGCCTTAATAATTTACTGGGTTAAATTGACAAGTCGGGCCATTGACTAAGTAGCAACTTCTGTGTTGGTTGGGCCGAAATTACCAGATTTTTTTTGAATTAACTACAAATATTCAATTAATTAATTAATTAATTTAGATCGGATTTTTCCAGAAATTCATTTTACTCTATATGCAATCATTATGATTCAAACATTTCACATTGCTTAAAAAATATAGTGTTAATGAAAATACTTACAAAGGGCATATTCACCTAACAACTAGATCTGGCTCAAGTTACTTACAAACTCCTCATAGTATTATTTAACCGAATCAAATTAGTTAAGGGCCATTAGTTCTATCATAGGATCTTCAAACCCTTCGGACTTGAGGTATAAATTGATCTCTCATTAACTTCAAAGTCGATCTGTCAATTCTTTAACTACCCTCTTAGTATAACGTCACTAGTCGAACTTTGGTATGTTGAAGAATTGATTCATCCTTAAAAAGTATGAAGTTTATACCACCCATTCCTAAAGTTGGTGCCATCAAACCCCAGGCATTTTAAGTTACAAGTACAATTTCCTATTTTGAACGTATAAATTCTATCATCCAGTTAGCCTATTTCACTCGATGCAATGTGCCTATCGAATTTTTATTAGTACCCGAAGCCACTAATCGAACATAAGGCTTGTCATGAACCAGATTACCACGTCTATCTCGAACCAGTTTAAAATGCAGTCCTTGAACCGGTTGGAAATTAATTCATCCCCTAAACTGGATCACTAGGCAACCTCTGAACCATATTTAAATTTCGAATTACTTTGTACCACTTCAACTGAATGAAAGTTTATGGACTGAATCAACAATGGCCCATGTCCTAAATTTCTGATTCTCAAGAACACTCCCCTAATTAGCCCCAACAAAGTATTCAACTCTAAACTTGTAACGAACGGATACCCCAGGTCGGGTCCCGAAACCAGTAGTTAGGGGTGAATATTTATTTAATTCGAGTCGAGTTAAATTTTTTGAGGTTATTCAAGCTGATGAGTTTTATTATATAACTCAAACTTCATTTGAATTTTTTTAGTCGAGTCAAGTTGGTCGAGTTTATATTTAAATTTAATTATAAATATTTTTAATATTACAATAGTAATTGATTCAAATTTAAATAATTTTTATAACCATATACGATATACATATATATTTTTCATATTTTTATATATAATATACATATATCATATAAAGTTAAGAGACTCTACTCGAATTTAAAAACTAATATAATAATAATTAAAAAATTCAAGTTATTTGCAATTTGATTTGGATTTTAGCAATTTCTTGTTGGGTTTGTCCCCATTACAAACATACGATGCATTAATAAGGTAAGAATAACGCAACACTATTAACATCCAAACAACATCGTATTGCTTAAAAACCTCAACCTTGAAACATTTCCGGGTAATGAAATGGAATGAGATTAAAGGCAGGAATAAAGGTAGTATTTTATATTAAGAGTGACAATTTTTTAAATTTTTAATAGATAAATTTATAAATTTATAGAGGATAAAAATAGATTATTAATAAAAAAATATAAAAAGAATATTAAAAATATATTATAATTTAAACAATGCAGCAGAATTCCCCCACGTGAAGTGTCCTACAACATTGGCCAAAATCAAGGAATTCTGTCCTCCAATTAGTGCTGGTTCAATTTCACAAACAAATGACGTAGAAATCACGAGCTGTCACTGGTCAACTCACCCGTGAATCACTGAATCTTGCACAAAAACGAAAAAAATATCAAAATCAGGGGCTGGCAATCCAACAAAAATAGGGTGAGCATATGGACAAAGCCATTAATATCGCTACCAATTCACCACTTTCATATGGTTTCCGAAGCCATTGCCAATTATGAAAGTTCTAAAATTACATTTAAAATTGAACCAGAAAAGAAAAGAAAAGCAAACTTAAATTATGAGGTCTCGAATTTGAACATGATGTAGATAGGAGTGTTTAAATGTTGATCGAGAGTTTTTCAAGTACTACAACAATCTCCTTATCAATGCCAACCCCAAATAATCATAAACTCTCTGCATTTTCTCTAAACTTCTTGTATATATCGCTTTTGTAGTACTTCCTGGTTTTGGCCACTAAAATGAGAGAACTCAATGCTCCAAAGAAGGTAACAAAAGCCAGAATTATAAACGACAACCTGTAACAATGAGTGTCAATACAAATCAATTCTTTCACAGAGGATCGTGTTAGACCCTTTTTTTGCAAGATCCTTCATTGCCTCTCTGTCGTATAAGAATCCAGTAAGTTTCACATTGAATATGTATGAGCCGAGAGGACTAGCCAACTGTCCACAATTGAACAATGTAGAGAAGTACTTTAGGCCGAAAAGCTCGGAAATGATGGCGAAAATCAAGGGTCATTGTGCCCCAAATGAGAATCCAATAATGATGGATGCTACATAGAGTGATCCCGGGACTGGAAATGCAACCAGTAGGTAGCCAATGCATGCAAATACAAGGACCATCGTCATCATCAATGGTCTCGGGAGCTTGTACTTAACAATCAGTGTCTCGGACACAAATACAGAAAATACCCTTCTGAAGAAATTCCAGATGCTAACAAGTGAAACGAAGGAAGTGACTGTTTTGTTCGGATAGCCGAGTGACTCACCGATTTGCCCCAAGTTATCGACCGCGGTTAAGCTCGATCCGAGTCCACAGAATGTTGAAAGAAACAATACTAACATGTCAACCCTCGTCAGTGCTTGCAAAATTGTGTAGTCTGCTCCTCTCTCGGGATTATCCAAAATGGTTAAAAAACAAGACTTTTCTACCTTTTCATCACCTTGTTTTGGCTTTGATTCAACCACTTCAGCAGTTGGTTTCTCTACTGTTGTCTCGCCTGGAGGATCCATTGGTCGTTTCTGGATATTCCAAACGAGTTATTGAATTTTAAGATTTCACAATCATTTTAAAGTATATTTGATTCAATTATTCGAATATCAAAATATTACTTCAAGTTTTTCAAAGATCAATTTTAATCCTTACTAAAGTGTAAAATTGTGTTTTAAACTTAAAATATTTTTAAAACAATTTTACAAAGTATTTCGAACCAAAATCGAGCCAAAAAATAATTTTTCAAAGGGATGTACCGATGTACTACATGATGCATCGATGCACACCCATTTCGAATGCATTTTGTGTACCGATACACAAGTTATGCATCGATGCACTAGCTATGCATCGATGCACTCTTGATTATTTTGAAACATCGAATGCATTTTGTGTATCGATGCACAGAACATGCATCGATGCACTCTTGGCTCTTTGAAACATCGAATGTAATTAGTGTATCGATGCACCCCTAGTGTACCGATGCACTAACTCTTATAACGGTCGAAATATTTGAATTTTACACATAGTGTACCGATGCACTTTGGTTATGATCGATGCACATATGCTCCCAACTGTTTTATTTAATTGTTTTCACACAATAACAACTCTATTGACTTCACCAATAATCCCCAACGTTCAGAAGTGATCCAAGGTGTATTTAAACAAGCTTAGGAGCTATTGATCAACAACAATTAAGAAAAGACGCTAGAGAATCAAAGAGAAAGCATCAAACCTCAAGTTTGAGCATTTCAAGCCAAATTTTCATTCAATATTCATTTTGCTTTCAAGAACACTTATTGTGCTCAATTGTATTCATTTTTTAGTGTTCTTTCTTTGTTCTAGAATTTTGCAAACATCTTACATTGTGAGGTTTTTTCTGTAAGTTTTCAAATTTGTGTATTTCTCTTTGGGAGATAGTGTTCTCAAGAATTTGTGGTATAATTATTGAGGGAGTTGTAAGGTTACTCTTTATCCTCAAAAGAAATAACAAATTAGTGAATTTGTTAGAAAATCCTTAGTGTGGATAGCTAAGGTAGTGGACGTAGACTTTGGTTGAGAAAGTCGAACCACTCTAAATCGTTGTGCAAATATTTTCAATTTTCTGCAAAAACTTCCACCAAAATTTTTATTGCCAATTCACCCCCTCTTGGCCGATTCGTCGATCGATTAACTCAACAATTAGTATCAGAGCCTCACTTATTTGAAGGTTTAATCGCCTCTTGAGTCGATTCGGGAATAGTTATATCGATATTCAAGTCATCAATGGCCTCCACTTCAAACTCCGACTTCGGTCTTGATTCTATGCCCGTCAACAAGCATTCTTTCTTCAATTGAGCTAATTATGCTTATTGGAAAAATAGAATGAGGTATTTCATTCAAGCAAGTGACATGGGAGCATGTAATATCATAAAAGACATATACTTCATTCCTTCCACTCATTCAAGATTGTGGAGTGAAGCATAGATAAGAATGTTCCAATTCAACTCAAAGGCTATCCATATTATATTTTGTGCTCTTGGACCAAATGAATACGAGAGAGTTTCATCTTGTACAACCGCCAAGGAGATATGGGATAAACTACAAGTCACTCATGAAGGCACAGACGAGGTAAAAGAATATAAAATTAGTCTTCTAACTCATAGCTATGAAAATTTCCAGATGAAACCGGATGAAGATATCAAATCTATGACGGATAGATTTGACACGATTGTTAATGGTCTCAAATCATATGGAGAGATCATTCCAAACGAAAAACTTGTGAGGAAGTTAGTTTACTCTCTTCCAAAATCTTGGCAATCAAAGAAGACGACAATCATCGAGGCTAAAAACTTAAAGTCTTTAACTCTCGAAGAGTTAATTGGTTCTCTCCTCACTCATGAAATGTGCTTCAAGATGAGGTAGACCTCGAGAAGATTGATGAGACAAAGAAGGAGAATGAGAAAAAGAAGAACGTGAGAGTTGCTCTCAAATCCATAAAAGATGAGAGTGATTCAGATGACGATGGCGAGGAAATAACATTATTTGCCAAACGGTTCAGAAAATTGATGAAGCCCAACCAAGGAAGAAAATTCAAACGAAATGAAGGCTTCAAAACTAATTCGAAGGAGAAAGACCCGATCATTTGCTACAAATGCAAAAAGTCAGGTCATGTCAAATATGATTGCCCACAATTGAAGAAGAAGGGTCAATCGAAGAAAAAACACAAAGCTCATGTGGCTACATGGAGCGATGATGAAGGTTCCGATGAAAAGGAACAAGAAGTAGCAAACTTGTGCTTGATGGCCATAGGGGAAAGCTCTCAGGTAACCTCTAGCTCATTTAATTTCGAAGATTATTCTTTTGATGAGCTGTTAGAGGAATATACTTGGTTGGCTTCGGATTATGAGAAATTATTTTTAAAATGCAAAAAAGATATTTCAAAATTGAAAAATGAAAATAATCACATATCCAAGACCAATAATGATCTTGAAAGTAAAATTAAAGATTTGCAAATCAAACTAGATGAGTTTGAAAAGAAAAATTCTGATTTGCTTAATTTACTTTCAAATGTCAACGATGATCATCAAAAAGAAATTGATGATCTTAAAACTTCTTTTGATAAAGTTGAAACAAAAAGTTTTGAAAATAGAGAAAGTTCAAAATCCAACTTTGTTATAATTTTTTTTAAAACTACAATCATAGAGGTCCCCGAAGAACCTCTAATGGAAAATCGTTAGAAGTATATGGGTTCCTAAAGAACTCATTACTACTAAAGATAATGATATCCTACATAAATGGATACCTAAGGGGACTAGAATTTTGGAGACTAATGAATATGGACCCAAAAGAAATTGGGTACCAAAAATCAAAAATTAATCTATGTTTGTAGGGGAATGAGCATTGCTACAAGGCACGAGAAACAAATTCAAACTCATGGTACCTTAATAGTGGATGTTCAAGACACATGACCGGAGACAAGAGCCGGTTCATCGAGCTTAATGACAAAAATGGAGGAGATGTGACTTTTGGTGATAATTCAAAAGGTCACATTGAAGGTATAGGTACTATATGTATACCTCTTCCATACAAATTAAAGATGTTTTATATGTGAATGGTTTAAAGCATAATCTATTGAGTATTAGTCAATTTTGTGATAAAGGATACAATGTCTTATTTGAAACAAATGGTTGCAAAGTCATTGACATTGCATCTAATCGGATTATGCTTGTTGGTCATAGAATAGGAAACATTTACATGGTGCATTTAGATTCTATTAATATGACTAATTTATGCCTAGTTGCTAAGGATGAGCATGATAGTTGGTTATGGCATAGGAGACTAGGACATACAAGCATGAGTGTTTTACAAGGACTAATTCAAGGAGATTTAGTAAGAGGGTTACCAAAGCTAAAATTTGATAAAGATAAAATATGTGATGCTTGTGCTAAAGGAAAACATCAAAGAGCTTCCTTTAAGTCCATTAATGATGTATCAACTAGTAGAATATTACAATTGATCCATATAGATCTTTTTGGGCCAATTAGAACTATTAGCTTGGGTGGAAAATAATATTGCTTTGTATTGGTAGATGACTATTCTAGATATAATTGTGTTCTATTTTTAAGTACTAAAGATGAATCATTAGAAAAATTCATCATGTTTTCAAAAGTAATCCAAAACGAAAAAGGTTTTTCCATAACTAGTGTTAGGAGTGATCATGATACTGAATTTGAAAATCTTGGATTTACTGATTTTTGTAATTATAATGGTATTAGCCATAATTTTTCAGCTTCGAGAACTCCTCAATAAAATGGAGTTGTTGAGAGAAAAAATAGAACTTTAGAATAAATGGTTAAAACCATGCTTTGTGAAAATAATTTGCCAAAATATTTTTGGGCTGAAGCCACAAATACCGCTTGTTATGTTATTAATCGAGTAATGATTAGGCCTATTTTAAAGAAAAATCCATATGAACTTTTCAAAAATAAAAAGCCTAACATTAGATATTTTCATCCTTTTGGATGTAAATGTTTTGTTTTAAACAACGGTAAAGAAAATCTTGACAAATTTGATGCTAAAAGTGATGAAGGAATTTTTATGGGTTATTCCTTAAATTCTAAAGCTTATCGGGTATTCAATAAAAGAACTTTAGTTGTAGAAGAGTCTATACAAGTTTTTTTCGATGATAATCCCCTTCCGAGGAAGGATTCTTGTGTGAAAGATAATATAGGTATTGTAAACACAAATGACGTTAGACATGACGTTGAAGAACCATCATCAAAGGAAGAAACGAAAGATGAGGAAACTCATGATGTTCTCGAGAATCCAACCATTGAAGAAAGGGAAGTCTCTTACCCAAGAGAATACAACTATGTCAAGGATGGTGAGATAATAGGTGATCCATCAAAAGGAGTACCAACTCGATATTCTCTTAGAAATATATGTAATTATGTTGCATTTATCTCATGCATAGGGCCTAAGAATATTAAAGAAGCATTAAATGATGAACATTGAATTATGGTTATGCAAGAAGAGTTAAACCAAATTGAGAGAAGTAAAGTATGAACATTAGTTGAAAGGCATAGTAATAAATCTACTGTAGGTACTAGATGGGTATTTAGGAATAAGCTCTATGAAAGTGGTAATATAGTGAGAAACAATGCTAGACTTGTTGCTCAGGCTATACTCAAGAAGAGGGCATAGACTATTATGAAACATACGCTCCCGCAGCTAGGATGAAAGCAATTAGAATGATATTAGCATTTGTATTTTTCAATTATTTTAAGTTATATCAAATAGATATTAAAAGTGCATTTTTAAATGGTTTTATAAAAGAAGAAGTGTATGTGGAACAACCTCATGGTTTTAAAGATTCAAAATTTCCAGATCATGTTTTTAAATTGACAAAATCACTTTATGGTTTAAAACAAGCTCCTAGAGCTTGGTATGAAAGATTGTCAAAATTTTTAATAGAAAAAAGTTTTCAAAATGGAAGGTTGACACTACATTGTTTTTAGAGCATAAAGGTAAAGATTTATTAGTAGTTCAA